CCCGCCCCATAGACCCACAGCAAGCGGCCACTTTCATGGCTTACTCCCTCTCGGGCTTGGGGGAGTGCTGTACATGAAGTGGCCGGGATAAGGACGTACAGGCAAGGCCCCTGCCTCTCCTGCCATAGCCCAGGACCCCCAAGGGCTAGCAGTGTCCTGCTGGGGGCTGCTCATCCACCCTCCCGGGGCACGCTGTGGCGAGCAGCCAGTCCATAAGGTCCATGTGCACGGGGCAGGGCCCAGCTTGAGCAGGCAGGCTGGTGTCCTGGGTATGCAGGAAGGGCTCCTAGCGCTGGTGCCAGGCCTTCAGCAGCCAGCAAAGCAGTGTCACGCAGCTGTGCTACAGGCTCTTGCAGTGGTGGTTGAAGATGGCACTGTGGGTCAGGTCGCCCAGTAGTGCCAGCTCCCTGGAATCCAAGGGCAGGACCTGGCCCCCATTGTACATCCGTAGGACCCAGGTGACCATGGGCTCAGTGGATGTGCAGCACTGGTCTCTCCGGGCCGCCTGGGTTGCAGTCAAGCCTGCCCAGAGGCAAGGACCTCAAGAGGGTGGGAAGCGCTGCTGCAGGCGCTGTGGGGATGAGAGGTGACACTGGGAGGCAGAAAGGGCGATCCCCACCCAACAGCGCCCTAGAGCGGGGGCCGTCAGACCCCCGGGGGGCACCATGTCCTCACAGATGGGCAGAGCCCAGTGCTGGGCATCACAGGGGTCTCCCAAGTGCACTGCCCACCCTGGTGCCATCATCACAGCCCTCAGAGCCCCTGTTCTTACCTGGAGAGGTGGGGCCCACGGCTTCAAGGGGAACAGCTGTGGGGAAGGAGCAGCAGGGCGCGGGGAAGAGGTTAGTGGGGTGCAGGGAAACCGCGCCATCCCATCTGTCCCCTCCTCAGAGCCAGGGCCCCTCAGACCCCCGGGTGTCAAAGGGCCCGGGGGGCACCATGTCCTCAGATGGTCAGAGCCCAGTGCTGGGCATCATGGGGTCCCTGCTGCTCATCCGTCCCCTGGGTCCCAGGGCCACCTGCAGTCCCAAGGGCATAGCACAAGCAATGCTCGGAGATCAAGAAGAAAGTGACTGACACCCAGCCTGAGGGCACCAGGGCCCCGTCCAGGTCCACCCAGGGTGTTGGCTGTATGACCTTCAGCACTGGGAGGGCCTGGTGAGGCAGAAGCTGTTTCCGACTTCCTTTCTGCTCAGGCCTAGAGTTTGGATCTCCCTGGTCCTAGGGAACTCACCCCCCAAACTGCTGCCCACAGCCTAGGTCTGCTTTTCCTCACCCCACCATTTCACTGTGTCAGGGCCTCCTGTGACAACTGGGAAAGGGCACCTGCCTTTCACCAGAGCCCCGGGAGGACTTGGTGAGTCTGTGCTCAGCAAGTGCTTGCTACTCGTGAGCAACCATGAACACCTGAATCTATTTTGTGTAGAAACGTGCTGCTTGAAGAGGCAGCCGCTATTTACAAGTATAACAAAAACCCACGGCTCACACAACCCAACTGCACCTTCTCCAGAGGATCCTGGGTAACCCCCAAAGGGCCCAGAGCAAACACTTCCAAGTCTACTTCCTGGAGGCCACTGTCCTCTCCGGACACCCAAGCAACAGAGGAAACTCCGCCCAGAGCTGAGAACCCTCTTTTCTTTTTTTCTTGGTTCAAGGGATGGATCTCAGGACCTTGTGCTTGCAAGGCACTCAGTGGTGCCACTGAGCTACATCCCTGGCCCAAGGCTCCTTTCTTTCTGCTAACATAAGTAACTATCTTCTAATCTAACTCTTTGAAACACTAGCAAAACCCTATTATTTTAATAATAGTCATTAGGTTTCCTTTAACGAGTTTATGTTCAAATGATTCACAAGAACCCAACTAAGCCTCACTTTAGGTACGCTGTGTATTCAGTGCACAAAAGCCACCAAGTGCCAGGTGACAGCGCTGAAAGCAACTGTTTCCTTCTGTTATTGCCCCCATGCAGCTCTGAGTTTGAAAACTGGGTTCTGATGACACCTTTTCCCTAAGACCCAGGTACTTTTTCCTCCCCCACCCCACATCTTATTCAATTCTTCCCGCCCCCCCTTTTTGGTACTGGGGCTCAAACTCGGGACCTTGCAATTGCGAGGCAGGCGCTGGAACCACTGAGCTAAATCCCTGGCCCTCAATCCTTCCCTTTGGAGGGGAGGAAACGTCACTGTCCGCACCCAACTATCTCAGAAGGATCTGGGCATGTGCTCCTGAAGCACTGCTCTACAGAGACAGCCACTGGGGCTTAGGAGATCACCTCCCAATACCTCCAAGCCTCCACAAGGCAGAGCTGGGATCTGGATCCAGGTCTAGCTGACTGGGTGTCCACAGCCTTGGGATGGTTTTTATATGCAAATACCAAGTCCATTATTGGCACATAAAACCAGGATCCGGAGACATCTGACATTAATTCTCCCCAGATGGGGGTGAAGTAGTTTTAGATGTGGGTGGGCCAGGAATGGAAGCAAGGGTTCTTACCACAATGGGGTGATGGCAGGTGGCCCCTGGGCTTCAAGATACACCTGTAACACAGAAGTACTTGGTCAGGGTGTGTGTAGGTGCAGTCCATGGGCTCAGGAGGACACCAATACTGGGGCCCCTCAGACCCCCAGGTGTCAAAGGTCCTGGGGCGCACTGTATCCTCATGGATGATCAGAGCCCAGTGCTGAACATCACGGCGGCCTCAGCCCCTCCTGAAACCAGACCCACTTACCTTCAAGGACAGATGCCAAGCTAACAGAGAATATGGACAAACCCCCAGAAGACCCCCAACTTCTCCGGCGTCAAAGGGGAGTCCCCATGGGTTGGGGCTCCACACCCGTTACAGGAAGAGGACCCTGAAACAGTGAAGGCTAACTCCCTCCAAAGAACCTAGCAGGAGGAATGAGGAGAAACGGGGCTGTTCTAGGAAGGTGATAAAAGCGCTGACTGCACACACTTGTTTGAGCCAGGCTTGAAGTCTGCTGTGAAGGACACCTGGAGACTTAGGAACAAACTACCAAGATGGGAGTAGAAGCAGGATGAAGGAATCATTCTCAGTAAGAGCGACAATGCCACTGTTACAAGGAGAAAGTCTGTTTTAGAGGCAGAGGTGTTACTATACAGGACGAAACGTGGTTGCAAAGGGAGAAAACTCAAATGGAGACTCTTGCTGGAGGAAGAAAATCAGCTAGCTCTTTCCAGGCTGGGCCTCCTAGGCAGGGGAATGGCGTCCTTAATGATTTTAAGCCCCAAAACTCGATAAAAAACTCTGATACTAAATAATCACTGTCAGGATTCTTACATAAAAGACTCTTTTAAAAGTTTTCTCGTAAGTCTGCTCCTACCTGGTTCGCAGAAACAATCCCATAAATTCACTTGGAGACTCGCTTCTTCCTTAGCTGTGTATTTTCTCGGTCCCTACAGGAAAACGCCCACACCCGCTCCTTTCCATCCCTTACGGTGTTTGTTCCAGCAAGGACAAGAAAGCTACTTCCCACAGTCAGAGGGGAAAAAAAGAGCGATTTTCCTAAAGATCTGAGAACCGGTGGCTAACACAGGAACGGAAATCTTCTAGGAGAATTCACGACCAATCACGGCCCTGCCTTCACCCTCGCCCCAAAGCGGACAAGATGGCGGAGGCCCGAGACGTGGGCAGCAGACGGAAGAGAGGACCCCGTATACCACGGCGCGGGCGGGGAGCCTCGGCCGCACCCTCCCGCGAGGGACCGCGTCCACACAACATGGCTGCTCCCGCCGAAGCCCCAGCTCCTCACACGTGCGTCCCAGGCCGCAAAGCCTCGCCGCAACCACTGAGAAGCCCTAACACTGCTAAGATGCTCCGAGACCTCCGCAAAGACTGAACACCCGGCAGGGAATCCCAATTTATACCACACGCTGCTGGCGGGTTCGGCCCCAGGCCCCAGACTCCAGTGTAGTCTCCGCCCTTAGGCATCCAATAGTAGCGCCTGCTAAAGGAGCCACGTTTTGGTATTGGAGAAAGTAATAAGACCTGTTCCCGCCAGAATATCCCTCAATAAGGGAGAATATATTATCTCTGGAGATGGAAAGAAAGGAATAAGGATGTATTTGGGACCGCTGCATGTCCCGTGTGTCAGGCAATTTTGAAGTCAGCATAAAAGAAAGAGCCATGGAAGAAAGACCCCCAAGGGGGCGGGGCCAGAGGCGGAAACCACTGGAACGGGTGGTGCGGCTTCAGAGGCGGGGCAGCGCTGAAAGGCTAGACCTACCCTAAATCCGACCCTTGGGCGGGAGGCGGGACCAGAGAGCGACCGGAGAGGGAGCGCGAGGTGGTGGGAGATCGCCAGCCCCGAGCAGAGTTAGGGGCGGAGCCGTAGGAGGCAGAGTCGAGGCCGTGACTCGGGGCCGGAAACCAGGATTCTGGGTTTGAGGGACGCGCTGGGGCCCGGACCCCCGGGTCTGAGGGGAGACTGGGTTTGTGGCTCACCCCTGGTTTTGTTGGCCTGAGGCCTGGAGTCCTGGATTCTTGCTGCGATGTGACATCTGAGGGGTGTCAACTGACAGGATTGTAAAAACATTTTTTTTTTTTTTTTTTGTAAAAACATTTTTTGAAAATGAAAAGTGAAACATTTCTATTCCCAGTCATTCACCAGAGGTGGCCGCTCTGAGCAGTTTGATGTGGACATTATACTTCACGGACACGCACACTCACGCACGGGGAAAATGGTCTTCACGTCAGTATGTCGTCGCAGGAGTAGTCTCCCCGCATCAGCACATGTGGTATTGTCACCCTTACGTGAGCAGAGCATAGTTTACTTTGCTGGTCCCTGGTCATTTGGGTAGTTTTCTTCTAATGAGTGAGGAAATTCCATGTATGAACCTGAAAACCTGAATTCCTACCTTAAGAAAGTAGCAGACATTTCTACCCCGGGCTCCTGCGTCCAGAGGAAGAGCAAAACTCACCGTGGCCCACGGGATGCTGGTCATCTCCCCTCTGTTTCCTCTCTGGTTTCATCTCTGCTTCTCCCTCGGCCTCTCTGGTGTTCCTGGTACTGGAGACCCCTGCAGTTAGGTTCCAGTCCCCTGCCCAGTATATGATGCAGGCCTGAGAAATCAAACTAAAAGACAGAACCAGGAGAGAAAGCGGGGCGCCAGGACGACCAATGCCGGTGCAACTGACAAAGGCGCTGGCCAGTCCCGGGCCCTGACATTTGTTGGCCATCCATTGGGGTAGAGGTGAGCTATGTGCAGTTTCTATGGAAATTAATGTAAACAGGACTCATAAAGGACAAGAGTTCTCTGCTAGATAAAATGGCCCCGACACCCCTGCGTCCTAAAATGGCCCCTGCCTACAGGCAAAGAGTCATTCCAGAGAGAACAAAGACCTGCTTTTTCCCACCTCGCCCCCAGTTGTAGCCAATCGTCTTCCTCCACCACACTCCCCCAGCCCCTATAAACCTCACCCAGCCAGCCCCTGGTTGCTGCTCTCGCCATTGTTCGAGACAGCCCGGCAGCTCTGTCCTTTAATAAATCCCTCGCCATGGGTGTTCGTGTTTCGGCTCATTTTATTTCTCTCATTCTCCAATTAGGAACAGAATAGACAAAATACAGGGTGGTAATTAGAGCATTGTTCTTCTAGTCAGAAGGTCTTAATTGTGGGAATGGAATTTGGGTGCAAGTTACTCTGACCTGGGCATGTAGGCTTCAGCCAGTCTCACTTCTCAAAACAAGCCAATTGTGAGGTTAACTCTTCACAGATTATGCTTTGGGCATAATCAGTATTACAGTCCTCTGCACCTGGGACCCTCAGGACCTTTGCATCTAGTGTCCTTCTGCCTGGAACTCTCCCCTGATCCATGTGGCTCTCTCCTTTTCAGTCCTGTCTCGGTTCAGATGTTATTTTAGCCTATAGATTCCCACCCTCACCTGCACTCCAGGCAGGCTCCCTCCTTCCCAGCGCTATCTCTGTTGCCCTCTTACTTTTCCTCATAGAACTTATCCCATAATACAGTATCTATCTGTTTGCTTATGGCATATTTTTGTTTGTTTGTTTGTTTTTTGGTTTTTTTGGGTATTTTTTTGGTACTGCGGATCGAACTCAGATCCTTGTGCTTGCGCAGCAGGTGGCGAAACCACTGAGCTAAATCCCCAGCCCTACTTATGGCATAATTTTTGCCTCTCTGTTGAAATATCAGTTCCACAAGGATAAGGATCTGCATCTAGCTTGGCCACTCCTCTTAACTCAGTGTTTGGCACAATTGCAGCTTCGTCTGTTTTAAAACAAATTTGGAGCTGTTTTATAGGAGACAAGAGGGAAGGTTATTGTGATAACGCTGAAGAGTACATACTGAGGTGCAGGCATTTATGTTAAATTCTGCATTAAAATATGATCATTACTCCCACTTTAAAGACAAGCAAACTGAGACTAGATGCGGTCAACACCATAGGCCTAAGAGCTAGCAAATGGCAGAAACTAGACCCCAAATCTGACAGCTTAACCACTGTGTGAGAATTTAATAGAGGAGACTTGACAGATTAAAAAAAAAGACAAAAAACTTTTTTTAAATTTTACTTTTTTTTTTTGGTAACGGGGCTCAAACTTGGATCCTTCCACTTGCATGGCAGGCGGCGGAACCACTGAGCTAAATCCCTGGCCCCTTAAATTTTACTTTTAAAAAAAGCCTACAGGGCCGGGGATTTAGCTCAGTGGTTCCATCACCTGCCTTGAAAGCACAAGGTCCTGAGTTCGATCCCCAGTACCTCCCCCTCCCCTCCAAAAAGCCTACAACTTCAAAACAAAAGCTACTCAAAAGTTCCCTCTAGGAAACTAAAAAACATTTCTAAAGGTCCTTTTACAATACACTTGTAAATCCAGGCTTTACCCTGTCCCTGTCACCTGTAAATTGTGCTTCCTCCATCCTCAAAAAGCAACAATAATGTGGACAACATATTTCAACTTCAAACACAAGTAGATGCCTTATATTTTAACCTGACTGTAAAAATACACATCCTAGATCAAGCATCTTGAAGACATTCCCTTAAATGTACCCAGCTCCAGCTCAACCTGTCTCATCTCTCTGACCACCTGCATTCCTCTCTTGAATGCATCCTCATATACCCTTCTCCTGTCTCTTTTACTGATATGTCCTGAAAATTCTTTTTCTGCAGTGGGAGTCAGCAGCCTGAAAACTTTTTTTTGGTACCAGGGATCAAACTTGGGACCTTGTACTTTCGAGGCAGGCAGTAGCACCACTGAGCTAAGTCTCTGGCCCTTGAAAACTTATTTTTAAAAGGTGGGATAGATTCCTTATTTCAACCTTGGGGACCTCTTAGGCCCAGCCTGGTGACAAACCTACAAACCAAGGCCCGGTAGGGATGCCTGGGAATGACATTATTTTCCAGTGTTTTTTTTTTTTTGAGTACCGGTAATGGAACTCAGGCCCTTGTGCTTGTGAGGCAGGTGTGGCACCACTGAGCTAAATCCCAGGCCCATCTAGTGGGGTTTTGACTCTATGCTGCTTAATGGATGATGGTCTGTTAGCCCCAAACCTTCCTTAAAAGGCTGCTACACAGAATAGCCTTCTGTTGAGAGCCTTTGGGGAGAGGAAAGATGCCGTGGTAAAGGGGGAGGTGAAATGTGGGTGGAGGTAAGATTTTCCTCAGGAAGGATAAAGTATTGGTGTTTGTAAAAGGAAGGACTGAAAGCAAGGGAAATGGGAGAGAACCAGCTCTTCAACAAACATTGAACGCTATCTGTATGCCAGGGACCTATGTTCTTGTACCTTGGTTCTTTACCTCAGAGTCCCTTGCTGACTTCGTACCTCACACGGTGGCCCCTCACCTCAGGATTCCTTGCCTCCCCTTCCCGTCCCTCTTTCCTAGATGGCCCAAAGATAGCCAGAAGAGAGGGGTGGCCTTTTCACAAAATGCTTCCAAGGCGCAAAGCTAAATAAAGGAATATTCTAGGCAGAAAATACAGATTATTTAAAAAATCATTTATTATCTGGAATGAGGGGTATCAAGGGGGCTGAAAAAGTACAAGACTCTTGGAGGGGATGGCTCTGGAGTGGGTGCTTGACGAGGAGCCATGCCTGTAGGTCACTGGTGAGACCATTCCTGCGTCCTAAGTCCAGACAGCCTGGAGTGCCAGGATAGACCAGAAATTCATGTAATTCAGATAGGAGAAGAAGCCTGTTTGAGGAAGAGCGCACAGTTGGCGAGACAGAGTTCACTAGCCCAACCCCACCACACCCTGTGCTGCCTAACCCCATCCCCAAACCCGCCTCCCTCACCTAGCCCCAAACCCAAACTCACCTCCATTGCTTACATCACCTCCAGTCTGCTTTCAAATTCAAGCCCAACCCCATCCCCACATCCAGCCCCAACCCTGTCTCCCACCGCACACCTTATCCCTGTCTGCAACCCCACCCCACCCCAAATTCTAGTCCACATAATTCCTAGCTGCATCCCTGAAGCTGTGCCCAAATCCAACCCCTTCCGGCCCAGACCAGTCATCAGGAACAGGAAGATGCCGATCCATGCCAGGTAGAAGCTGATCCCGAGCCTGTAGGTCATGCCTTCTTGCAGGTACCTGTCAGCCTGCCACAGGTAGAACAGGACACCCAGTGCGATGCTAGTCCCTGTGTGAGCACAGATGTTAGGCAGCCAGGAATCAGGTGTCTGAGGAACCCTGCTTGTAGTTGTGTGGCTGGCTGGTTTTTGCTCCTTATTTCCCCACTCTCTTTAACCTTCCCAATCCCATACGTCTGCTACAGGCAGAAAAATGGGCTCCTGACAACGCCATGCTAGAACACACTGGAAGTGCAAGCCTTGGTCTAAAATGGGGTAACGACAGTGTCTAAAAGCATAGGCTTTGGGACTCACAGACCAGGCCTCATCTTGTCTCTGCCCCTCCCCTTAGGAAGCCACGTCATCTCTCTGAACCTCAGTCTCCTCGTCTGTAGAGTGGACATACTCCTAGGACTGTCTCAGGGGGCCGTCATGTAGAGGTATTGAAATCAGTGCACTTCCTGCACATGGCCCTCAATAATTGAGATAGATTATCATTATATTGGGTCCTTAATATTTGGCTTCTGAAGCAATGGACAAAGAGCCCAATTATTCCAGATATTTTGAAATTACATGAATTAAAGACGACTTAGGTAAAGGAAAATCCTTTTTTTTTTCTTTTTCAGACTGTGGAGTTCTTTGTCTTGTGTTATTGAAAAATAACACAGGTGATTTCTGTTTACATAAAACAAGGAATGGACATAAATGGATTCTTAGAGAAGAATGACCTGGTTTAAATGGTGCTTTCTATCCTTTGCACATTATATTTAAACAAATAGGAACACCTGTTAGACCAATTAGATAAATACCAGGAAACAGGAATTTGACTGTTCTTTATTCTAGGCCACACTATCACTCTCCAAAATTGTTTTACTGATGCAACTGAAAGTTGTTATCAATTACTACAAGAGATAGAAAATCCCTCCTTTCTAAATTAAAGCCTCCCTCTCCTTTTGGAGTGTTGGCAGGGAAGTGCAAAACTAGATTATTCTAATCAACACATTGATTTTGTGTTAGGTGGAGTTAAGAGGGTTATCATGGTAAAGATTTGTGCAAGATTTAGTAGCTAACCTCAAGTACTGACATCTTTCTCTTTTTTGAAAGGCAGTCTGGCACCTGCAGTGCCTCATTTGATATGTCTTCAGTCTTGGAAGTTTGGCTAACTCATGTTGTCCTACACATGCTGCCTGAGAGTTCTACCAGGGGAGTGCATTACTCATACACTTTTTTTTCCTCATACACTTTTGACTGGAGAACGATTCTTAGAACAGAGTGTGCAGCTTTAGGAGGGACATACATGGATCAGTGAGGGAGGCAGGGGACATTCACCTAACTGGCAAGATTAGCCAAATCAACCCTGGTGATCAATGGGGTGCTAGGTGTTGTAGCCACATCACCCTCATGTCCAAGTACTGGCATTTTCTTTCCTCCTTTTCAGTAAGAAGGAAAGATTGAATACAGGGCCTCACTCATGGTAGGCAAGTGTTCTGACCCTGAGCTACACTCCACCCCTTTTTATATTTTATTTTATGGCCAAGTCTAGCAAAATCACCCAGGCTGGCCTTGAACTTTTGATCCTCCTGTCTCACCCTCCTGAGTAGTTGGGATTAAAGACATGTTTTACCACATGCAGCCCAAGTACTGACATTTTCTAATTCAATCTTCATTACACCTCCACCTGGTAGGAAATTTTATCTGCATCCCATAGATGGGAGCACTGGCTCAGAAAGATGAAGTAGCTTACACAAAATAACACACCAGCTGTGGTGGTGGGACAGGATCGGGGAGGTTACTGAGTAGAGGCTGGGAATGGGGATGGGTGAGGGTGCCAATGGGTTGTGTAAGGGAAGAGGATGGATTGGATATGGGTAAGAGGAAGGAGATGGGAATGGGTTGGGTTGATTTCAAGAACGAGGTTCACAGGTGATGGGTTGGAGATTGGGATCAAGGTGAAGATGAGGCCAGGGATGGACTGGGGTTGAGTGTGAAATGGAAACTCTCGGGATAGGGTTGCATTGAATTCGAAATAAGTGTTTAACCCTCGAGGTTACATGGGATGTTGAGATTTGTGAAGGAGCTGGGGATGGTAATGGGGTTTGTTTGAAAAGAAGATAGAATCCAGTGGACATTGGGGAAGGGAACGTGGATGAGTTGGAGGTTTGTTGGCAATGGGGATGGAGTCAGAGTTGAGGTTGGTACTGGGCCTGGAGGCGGGGCTAGGGTGGAGGTTGATATTTTTTATTGGAATGGGTTGAGCATGGGAAAGGAGAGAGGACTGGGGCTGGGGCTGCAGGTAGGGTGGGGATGGGGCTGTGTTTCATAATTGGCACTGGCGGGGTACTCATTGTCTTGGTTCCTGAGGAAAAGCCTTAATGCTGTGCCTGTAACGATGCTGCCGATAAAGAGGAAGAAGTCCAGCCAGGGCAGTTTGGAACTGGAGAAGAAGATGAGGAGTCCTAGGGCCACACAGAGGCAGAAGCTGGTGATGCTGGAGATGAAGAAGAAGGCCCAGGCAAGGTCCAGCAAGTCTGTAGAAGGAAGAGAATCAGGAGCACCACGACTGCATTTTCTGGCTCTGAGATTTGGGAAGAGGGTCACCAGCGAAGCTGGCAATCTTCTCCAACTCCCTCCCACAAAAGTTACTCTCATGCTACGAAAGTTGAAATTGGGCTATAAAGAAGTAGCACTGAAGCTGATCCCTCCAGTGTACGCATCTGGGGCGGTGAGGTTGGGTTCCTTGGCAGTGGGAAATCGGGTGGGTGGTGATCATCGTCTTGGAGCTGTGAGGACCATCCCGGAGGAAGAATAAACCATTCCAGGACAGAAGAGAGGGACTCTGGGACAAAGAGGAGGCGGGTTCCCAGGAGTGGTGAGGGTAGAACAGGCCTTACAAGCATACTGGTCATACTCCTTCAGGCAGGAGATGTCAGAACACGCCACAAAGAGGATGGTGTTGATGGGCACGGTCGGAGAGCCAGCAGGGTGCCCAGGGGGCGTCAGTGGGACCTGGAAGTGCATCCAGGGCTGGCCCAGAGAGATGAGACCGATGATTACCAGGCCGGCCAGGTTCAGGACCAGGCTCAGCTGGCGGCTGATCTTCCGGGCCTCATGCAGCAGGCGCCAGCATATGGGCAGCCGTACCTGACGGCTACGGCTTTTCTGAAACCTGCATCAGATCACATGCCGCCATGTCAGCTCTGCATCCAGCCATCCTTCCAAGCCACTGTCTGCTCCGCATCCATCCACCATGCCCTATGCCTCCCAGGTCTTGCCTTGTGCTGTTCCCACCCTCGGGCCAGCCTTGAGGTACAGCTTCCAAGCCCCATCATACCTCCATTCTGATACACCAGCCATGTTGCTGGGCACTGACCTTTGACTGCTGCCCTTCCCCCAGTATCGTAGCCCAGAACTGGGTCTCCTGCCAGGGTCCCTGCCCTCACCTGTGAGAATCGATGCCAGAATCGATGCCCGTGGTGCTGCCTGACAAGAAGTTGAGTGCATCATCAGGACTGGTCTGGTTGAGTTGGGAGCTGAGCTCACTTTCTTTGGGAATCGCCTGGGAGTTCCAGTTAACTGATTCAATGCTGTCAATACTGGCTGTGGGGCTCTGGGTAATGGATGGGGGGACATGGACACTGGGCCGGGTTTGTTTGTTTGTGAAGCTGGGAGTCTGAGTCGATGTCAGGCAGATATTGGATTGGCTGATGTGGCAAACTGAATGAGTATTGTTCAGGGGAGGAGATTCTTGGAGACTGAGCTTGTGACTGTGGTCAGTTAGTGGAGATTCTTGGATATTGGGCTGGTGACTGTGGGTAGTTGGTAGAAGCTCTTGGACAGTGAGCCGGCAACTGTGGATATCAGGTGGAGATTCTTGGATACTGAGCTGATGACTAAGGACAGTTGGTGGAGGCCTTTGGACACTGAGCCGGTGACTGTGAGCAGTTGGTGGATGCCCTTGGATACTGACCCTGCGACCATGGGTAGTAGGTAGAGGCTCTCGGATACTGACCCGGCGACTATGGGTAGTAGATAGAGGCTCTTCGATACTGACCCTGCGACCATGGGTAGCAGGTGGAGGCTCGTGGATGCTGACCTGGTTACCGAGGGTAGCAGGTGGAGGCTCTTGGATACTGACCCTGCGACCATGGGTAGTAGGTGAAGGTTCTTCAATGCTGACCTGGCTACTGTGGATATCTGGTGGAGGCTCTTGGATACTGACCCGGGGACTGTGGACAGTTGGAGATTCTTCGATTCTGGGCTGGTAGCTGTGGACAGTTGATGAAGGGTCTTGGAGATGGATGGGCTGAGTGCTGACAGCTGGTGGAAGCGTTTGGACACTGATCTGGTGATTGCTGGGGGCCAGTGGAGACTTTTGGGTACTCACTGGTTGGCTCTGGACAATGGGTAGAGGGTGTAATAGGGTGCTGAATTGGGGGCGGTAGGTAATTGGCAGAGAGCCATCAAGCTCATCTTGAGTGTTGCTGGGAGCTAATGGCTGAGCGCTCTGCAGGTTAGATTGAGCCTCCTCAGACATGTGGAGGTGCAGGAAAGGGCCAGGCTCTCAGTCTGCTAACAGCCTCAGTTCTTCCTTCTAGACACCTCCACACCCCCTGGAAGATCTGTGGTTTCCCTCTTGGCTTTAAGCTCGATCCTTCGGCATTTTTGTCACTCTTTGTCTTTATGTTTCCTGGTCTCTCTTGCTGTTGAAGGGCACAGCTCAGGGATTCAACCTGGCCTTCAGCTGGGGCCAGGAGGAGGTTCTATGACAGTTGGAGGGGTTCTAGGAGGTTGGGAGGCTGGCCATGGCCTCAGACTACATCCTACCCTTTGTGAGTGATGTGGGGGCGAGGCCTGGGGCAGAGTAGACTCATGCGGGGTCTGGGCAGAGTCAAGATTGGGTCAAGAAGGGTTCTGCTGGGTCAGCGAGAGGGCAGGCCAGGACCAGGGTGGGGTCCAGGTGGGGGCAGCTGGGTCAGAGTGGGACCAGGCTGTGGGGAGGGCTGCGTAGGGCCAAGTCAAGGCTGGGTCAATACACATCTGAGATGAATCCTAGGTTTCTAGAGGGCCTGAGATGTGACCTTATGATTCGCTCTTCCTACCCGCTGTTTTCCTCACCCCTCCTAGGGCCTCTTCTGAATCAATTTCGTCCTTTTTTCCCTTCTCTAGCTCCATGTCTCTTCTTATTTCCTTTCTTCCTCCTCCCTCTCTGTCCCCATTCACCTCCCCTGGGTCTCAGAGAAGACTGGACCGCTCCTTGCTCTCAAAGATCACCAACTCCAGGTGGGAAGAGGAGGAAGAGCCAGCCACAGCTCGACAAGTGATGGACAGAGGTCTGCAACGTACAGGTGCCCAGCTGTGTGTGTCACCTCTCCTGTGGGGAGGAGTGGGGACTCCCAGATCACTGTGCCCTTTGTGTTCCTTTAGCTTTTGTAGTGACTCGGCAAGAAACCAACTCCAAGCTGGGTGCGGTGGTGCACGCCTGTAATCCCAGCACTTGGGAGGCTGAGGCAGGAGGAGCGCCATGAGTTGGAGGCCAGCCTGGGCTACATTGTGAGTTCAAGGCCAGCCTGAACTATACAGCGAGACCCTATCTCAGAAAAAAAAGAAAACAACTCCACAAACTTTTGTACAACTTAAATTTATATGCATTTTGACATTATTAGATTTAAAAATATTTTTATGACTTCCTATTTCCAAAATATTGGGTTTCCATGTGATATTTGCATACACACATATAACACATTTCGATCATATCCCCCTTTACCCTTCCTTATGCTCTTCTCTCCCTGCGCTTACTTCCCTTTCTCTTATCCCTGCTACTTTCATGCCATCTTTTTATTAAAATTAGATTACAGGGCCAGAAATTTAGCTCAGTGCTTTCACTGGCTGCCTTGCAAGAGCAAGGTCCCGAGTTTGAGCCCCAGTGCCAAAAAAAAAAAAAATAAAAAATTAGAGTACATATGTTAGGGAAAACTGACACTTGATACTTGTCTTTCTGAGTCTGGCTTATTTCAATTAACATGATGATCTCTAGGTCCATCCATTCTCCTGTGAGTGAAATAATTTTATTCTTCTTTATGGCTGAATAATACTCCATGATATAAATCATTTTCTTTATCTATTCATCCACTGATCGGGACCTGAACTTGTGCTGTATCTTGGCTATTGTGAATTGTGCCACAATAAACATGGGTGTGCAGGTACACTCTAACGTGGTGACTTTTGGTTAAATACCAAGGAGCGGTAGAGCTGGTTCCTATGCTAGTTCTCTTTTCAGGTTTCTGAGGAACCTCCATACTGATTTCCATCTTGGGTGTACTAGTTTGCATTCCTACCAGTAGTGTCGAAGGGCTTCTTTTCCCTCATATCCTTGATAACGCCAGGTTTTGTTTTTGCTGTTGGTAGTATTAGGGATTGGACTCAGGGCCTGCACACTGAGCTGCACCCCAGGTCTTTCCCTTTTTTCACTTGAGATTCGAGTCTCACTAAGTGACTGAACTGACCAGGCGGGCCTTGAACTGGCAATCCTTCTGCCTCAGCCTCCCAGAGTGCTGGAATTACAGGCTGGAGCCACCACACCCAGCTGGTGTTTTGTATTCTTGATGAGAGCCCTTCTGACTGAGGTGAGAGGAAATGTCAATCCAGTTTGTTTTTTGAAGTTCCAACAGCTTTATTTGAATTGAAGTTGGTTCTCACTGCATTTGGATTATTTCTCTCCTCTCAGTTTTCATTACTGAAAACTGCCTGAGGCCAGTCCTCCCTCACATCAAGTCTTTGGCTTTGTTTCTCTTGGTATATTAACAAAACAGAATAGTTTAACTCCTATTTTTTTCCTTGTAGTCATTGCACAGAGGCAAATATGGTTATGTCTACTGGTTTTTTTTTTTAAAAGATCTGTTTTAATAGGTCACATTTTGGAGTAACTTTTATTTTATTTACTTATTATTATTATTATTTTTGTTTTTTTGAGGCAGGCTCTTGTCATATAGTCCAGGCTGGCCTGGAACTTACATGATACTCCTGCCTCAGCCTCCCGAGTGCTAGGATTACAGGCATGTACCACCACACCTGGCTGACTACTGGTTTTGTGTTGTTGTTGTTGTTTTTGTTTTTTTGTTTTGTTTTGTTTTGTTTTTTCGGTACCGGGGATGGAACTTGGGACCTTGTGCTTGTGAGGCAGGCAGCAGAACCACTGAGCTAAATCCTGGCCCTGTCTACTGATTTTTTTGCATGATTTTTCTAATAGAGTTTTAAAAAGCCTCTTGTGTCCTATAATTTGCATCAAAATATCAAACACAAACCAATTCATTGGCAGATCAATTTAAATTGACTTAGCCCATTGGAAGACACATAGAAATCCATAGTTCCTCGACTATATTCTTGGGGCTAAACAACCGAAATTAATCTGTAGTTGTCAAGTACCAAGGGGTGGTCAGTCCCGAAAGGCCACTGAAGATCATCACAGGCATTGAACTTAGAGAATTAACCAGGCTTCCATCCTGACAAGAAGGGATGTGGCAGGTGTGTTCAGGAAGATTACTCAGTGACAAGCCTGGAGGTCAGACAGTCACTTACAGCTCGTGTCTTTCCGTGTGAACTGATGTTTGGAGTCAGGTGAAGGGCCACATAGTGACTTATCAGCATCCAGCCCGAAAGGCTTCTCCTCTTGCCATTTGAAATCCAGCAACTTGTAAACTTGAACACGTTGAGTCTCTCATGGTCTCATCTCTCATTATGGTGGCTTTTGTTGTTCTTTCAGGCTGATAATGGCTGTCACACATAAGGAAAAGCGAGAGCCTTTCTCAGTCCCCAAACACACTGGCAAGACAGTGATTAAGCTTTGCTCTTGACAGATTGTGGTCTAGTCACAGGGAGGTGACTTCCAACCTGTTACATGTCAGACGTGCTAAGTTTGTGTCTCCTGACACTGAAGAATGGACTGGAGGCCATAAGAGGTTAAGAGTAGGAAAGGTTTATTGAGAGAAAGCTGGGCCGGGGATCTAGCTCAGTGGTTTCACCGCCTACCTTGCAAGCGGAAGGACCTGAGTTCGATCCCCGGTACCAAAAAAATTAAAAAAAAAAAGAAAGAAAGTAAGAGAGAAAGCTGCTGAGGGACAGCAGGGGCCCCAAAAGTGGGCTGCTACCGAGGCTCTTTGTCCACGGAGATTTTATAGAGCAAAACCACAACTTGGGTAGCTATGGGTCAAACTACAATCTGTAGGATTACAAGCATAGTCACTTAGCTAACATTGATCCAATAGGGAGGGAGGCACGTAGCAAGGGTACATGGTGGAATATCCAGTTACCCTAGCACGATTACTAAAAAGGCTGTCTTCTCCAACATATGTTCTTGGCTCCTTTGTCAAGAATCAGATGGCTATGGTTGTACAAGTTTGTTTCTGTGTCTTCTATTCCATTGGACAACATATCCATCCTTGCGCCAATGCTATTTTGTTTTTGTTACTGTGGCTTTGTAGTATAATTTGTTTCCTTTTTCTTTTCTTTTTTTTTTTTGGAGCCAGGGTCTCACTATGTAGTTCAGCCTGGCTTTGAATTCACTATGTAGCCCAGGCTGGCCTTGAACTCGTGGTGCTCCTCCTGCCTCAGCCTCAGGAGCACTGGGATTACAGGTGTGAGCCACCACACCCAGCCTTTGTAGTATAATTTGAAATTGGGTATGGTGATGCCTTCAGCATTGCTCTTTTTGCTTAGGACTGCTTTGGCTAATCTGGATCATTTATGTTTCCATATAAATTTCAGTATAGTTCTGTGAAGGACGTCATGCGAATTTGGATAGGAATTGCATTCAATCTGTAAATTTATTTCTTTTTGTTTTTTTGAGACAGGGTCTTACTTTGTAGTTCTGGCTGCCCCTGAACTCACTGTGTAGCCCAGGGTGGCCTTGAACTCATGGCAATCCTTCTGCCTCTGCCTCCCAAGTGCTGGGATTACAGGTGTGCACCACCATGCCTGGCCAATCTGTAGATTAATATGGTTGTTTAACAATGTTCTGCTGATCCATGAATATGGGAAGCCTTTCCATCTTCTAATGTCTTCTTGAGTTTTCCATAACATTCATTGTAGAGTTTTTTGGTTTTTTTTTGGTACCGGGCATCAAACTTGGGACCTTGCACTTGTGAGGCAGACAGCAGAATCACTGAGCTAAATCTTCACCTTTTTTTGTTATTGTTGTTTTGGTACTGGGGATTGAACTCAGGACCTTGCGCTTGCGAAGCAGGTGGCAGAACCACTGAGCTAAATTCCCAGCCCATCCCCTGCTTTTTGCTTTTTTTTTTTTTTACCTCCTTGGTTAGGGTGATTCCTACATATTTTCTTTATTAAGGTTGTCCTGAGTGGAATTGTTCTCCTGACTTCTTTCTCAGATAGTTCATTATTGGTATATAGAAAAGGTATTTATTTTTTTTTTAGCGATTGATTTTTTTTTTTTTTTTGGAGAAGACGGCATACGAGATCCTGGTAGGTGACTGGAGTTCAGACGTGTGCTCTTTGGTACTGGGGATCGAACTCGGGTCCTTGCGCTTGCGAAGCAGGTGGCAGAACCACTGAGCTAAATCCCTGGCCCAGTGATTGATTTTTAAATGTTGATTTTACCCCCTTCTACTTTGCTGAATTTATTAGCGCTAAAATTTTTTTGTGTGTGGAGTCTTTAGGGTTTAGAAATACAGAATTATGTTGCCTGAAGATAAAGATAATTTGACGTCTTCCTTTCCTTTTTTTTTTTTTGTACTGGGGATCAAACTCAGGACCTTGTGCTTTCGAGGCAGGCACAGTGCCACTGAGTTGTTACATCACTGGCACGTCTTTTCCTACTTTTATTCCATTTACTTCTTTCTCTTGTTTGATTGCTTGAGCTAAAGTTTCAAGTACTGTATTGAGTAGGAGTGGTGAGAGTGGATACCCTTGTGTCCTGACTTATTTATTTATTTATTGTTTTTTGAGACAGAGTCTCACCATATCGTTCAGACTGGCCTTGAACTAACTATGTAGCCCAGGCTGGCCTCAAACTCACAGTGATCCTTCTGTCTCAGCCTCCCAAGTGCTGGTATTACAGGTGTGCATCACCACTACTGGCCAGGTGCTACTCTCTATAGACATTTTAATGTTTGTCTTTTTTTTGAGAGAGGGTCTGGCTGAGACCCTCTCTGAGAGAGAGTTCAGGCTGGCCTTGAACTCACGACATAGCTCAAGTTGGCATTGAACTTACAGTGATCCTCCTGCCTCAGCCTCTCCAATGCTGGGATTACAGCTGTGCACCACTATGCCCAGCTTGTAGTTCCATTCTTGTTATTTTCATAGGGTAACTTATTAGAAAACAGGGCTACACAGAACACATTTTCAAAAGACGGTATTGATGTTTACTGTCAAAGAATCTAGGACACATAGGTAATTCTAGTATGTGATTTTCTTTGTATAACAAGGAAAACTAATGAATGGACTTCATCTAGAAAAAGCAAAAATAGGATTTGTACAGGAGAGGAGAGGGAAAATCTGCAAGATCTGCAGATATGTCTATGTCTCTATATCTCACTGTATCCATCCATCCAGCCAGCCACCCATCCACTGATCTATCACATATGTGTGTGCACACACACATGCACTTACAGCGTGAATTCTGTCTCCTTTTCCTTGGGTGCACAGCTGATGAGCCAGCCGCAGTCAGGGTTTTGTGCCCTGAGAGTTCTGGACATTGTGCTATGTCACGTACCTGCTGTATGCCCCAGTTTCCCCAAGTGAAGGTGGGAATCATAATAACAGTGTTGCTAGCACCTCCATCTCAGCTATGCCAAGTCTGCACTTTCTTTTTCCTATCAGTTTCTTGCCACCAAACTGCCCTGTCAGAACATTAAATCCATTTATGTAACGTCCAGGGGTGCCGGTTACACTGCCCTCCTCAGCAGGGGCATTTTCAGCTGCTTTGCTCCATGCTATTCTAAGGTGTAAATTACTACTTCTCTTTTGTTTGTTTGCATTGCTTTGATGAGATTGGCCATCTTTTCACATTGGGATGGACTTTGAACAGCCTATTCTTCCCCTTCATCCCTTCCCTCCTTGAGCATTTGTCTCTTCTGTGCGCTGTTCATGCAGTAAGGGTGTGTGAAAGGCAGTGTGGTTTCCAGCGGTTATCTGAGGCTAGGTTGGAATCATGGCTCTGCCCTTGCCAGCTGTGTGCGACCTTGAGCACACCATTTAACCGCTCTGTTAAATTTTTTAATCACTGGAGATGATAACCATTCAGAGGGTTGCTGGGAGGGCGAATAACACATACAGGCTCTTAGATCCCCTGTGTAATAAAGACCTGCTGAGTTTTACACTTCACAGCTGCTGGCATCAACTCTACAGTTTGTTTCCATCCATCCTCTTTCCTAAATTCCAGGCCCATATGCCCAGCTTTCTCTGAAACCCACCTTGACTGCATCACAGAGGATGAGAAAGAAATTATTATTATTGGGCACCATTCATGTAGTCACTCACTCACTCATTCATTCAGTACTCCTTTTACTTAACAAAGGTCAGAGGCTCTGTACCAGGCAATGCGAGTATGGCAGAAAATGAAATAGATTTGTTTCCTACCCTCCTGGAAGTGTGTTGTGGAGGAAAATTAGTAGCCAAGAAATGAGGCAAGTACTTAATCCCAAGGTCGTGGTATGCCAGTGCAGGAGAAAGGCCTTGCACTGTGGAGTGTGTAATCGGCTGCCAGAGCAGGAACTGAGTGTGGGGGATCAGGATTCAGGGATGGAGGTGTGGGGGAAGGGGACCCTGGAGTTGAAGCCTTAGGGGAGGCCAGGGTGGGTTGGGCAGTGCGTGCTCTGGAGAGAGGTAGCAGCCAGAACTGCATGAAGGCCTGAGGTAGCGAGAGCCCGGGAAGCCTGGTGTGGCTGGAGGTAAGTGGTAGTGGGGAGAGGGATGGGGACGACAGTGGGGAGACTGACGGGGTACAGGCACTTGTGTCCCTGCTTCGAACCCCAAGGTTCGTGCCCTCATGAGCAGACGTGTGTCACAGTCATCTGCCTTGGACTGAGATGTGGGGTATGGACGGTGAAGATGTTAAGAGCAGAGACAGAGCTGGGTTTGGGGGACAGGGACCAGAGGATGGGACTGAAAACAAAGCAGGTAGTCTGAGCTCAGGATGGGGTTAGGGTTGGCACTGGGGATGGGCGAGGGGCTGTATTTGGGGCTCAGGAGGGGGAGAATGAGGTGAGGTAAAGTTGGGGATGGGACGGGGTCAGTGGGGACAGGGACGAGCTGTGGTTGGGATTGGGCAGGGATGGGGATGTGGCTGCAACTGGGAATGGAGAAAGATCCAGTCCCCCAACTCTGTTCTTTCCCAGTGCACATGGTCTTGTCCTGGGAGGAGGACCGCAAGATCGTGCTTCGGATCTGGTCTCTGGGCTTCAGCATCCTCGCGACCCTCATGTTGTTTAGCACGGTAGATGGGCGGATGGCCTACGTGCAGGGCTCCTATACTGGCTACGTGGGCTTCTGGACTGACTGCAGGAGCCACAAGTGTGCCAGCCTAGGTCACGTTACTGGTGCGTGGGCTCTGGAGGCGCCTGTGGTGGGCATCTCCTTCCAGTCCCCCTGGGCAAGGAGCTTAGGGGCTCTGGGTGCGGGAGGGTTGTCTAGAGATTCTCTCCTATGCCTGAGGCTGCCTTTGCCGGAGTGGTTTCTGCGAAGTGGCGTGGTTGACAGGAGTGGGGGATTCTGGAGTCTCTGTGATGACCGTGGATGTTTTTCACCCTCCTCCCAGTTCTCATCCACATGAGCCAGGGCTTCATGATTCTGGCCCTGGCCCTGTGCCTATTCCTCCTCCCCTGCATGGGCCTCTCCTTCTGGTCAGTGTTCCACCGCCTGAACAAGATCGACTCCGTCTTCAGTTTCCTCGGCATCAGCATTGGTAAGTGTTGGCTCGGGCCAGGGGTGCCACTGGCCCCCAGACCCCCTTCCGGCTTTGAGGTGGTACATCCAGCTCCTCCCTCCTGCAGTCTGCCTGTCAGGCCTGCAATGTCTCTTGCTGTGTATCTCAGTCTCTGTCTCTGTCCCTGTCTCTGTCTCTCTCTTTTTTTGTTGTTGTTGTTTGTTTTTGGTACTGGGGATGGAACTCTGGACCTAGCGCTTGCAAGGCAGTCGCAGGAACCACTGAGCTAAATCCCAGGTCTGTCTATCTGTCTGTCTCTCCACCCCGCCCCCCCAAGGGTGTGTGAATGGGGTCTCCTTCCCACATCCTGTTTATTTCCCTTCTCTCTAGGTATCTTTCAGTCCGTCACCTGTGTGCCTGCGTGTGTTTTTCTCCGCTTGCCGTGGAGGGTGGGAGAGGCTGTCTTCTCTTACTGGGCTTCCAGGGGTCACTGTCCAGCCTCCTGTCCGTCTCTGGCCCCACCCCAGTGCAGGGCTCCTGATTCTTCTCAGCTTGACACTCTTTATAGTCAACTGTAAGATGATACAACCGAGGCCCCAGATATTTTACCAGGAGACCTTCTACTCGTGCTGGTGCGCCTGCGGCTTGATGCTGTGCGCTGGTGAGGGCGGGGCCTGGGCAGGGTAGGGGCGGAGTCGGGGAGGGGAAGAGGAGGGGACAACCTCACGGACGGGGAGGGGCTAGGCTGGGGCCTAGAGTCCAGAGCCTGCCAACACCCCCCACCCCCCCAGGAACAGTGTCCTACTTAAACCAAGCGGGCATGTGGAGCACAGGGGAGTGCACCACCGAGTGGCGAATGAGCTATCGCCGGTGGACTTTACACCACAGCGCTCTGTTGCAGGGATCCCAACAGAAGGGCACAGACGAGACCCTTGGGCACACTCGGGTCCTGCCCAGTCCTGGCACTAGCCAGGGCGAGTCCTAAGCCCCTCCAAGGAGTAACACTCTAGCTCCTCAGGACACTGACTGGTAACCACGACCAGATGCCACCCCACCACTCTCAGCGCCACCACATCCGGTGGTTAGGGCCCCCTTGAGGCCACACCCTCTGAACATAGCTGGCCATCTCTGCCCCACGAGCCCTGACCCCGCCCACTGGGTCTTCATCGTGCTCCACCCCGGAAGTGCCATACGCTCTCCTCCCAGCTGACACCCTCGGACCTTCCAGTCGACCTTCCGGTCCCTGAGCCTAGGCCTAATGGCTGGTTTCTGTGGCCCCATCCGGGTGCCCAGCCCACGCTCCTAAGCAACTCTCTGTCCTGTCGGCCGGAGGATACGCATCAGAACTTCTCTCGTGGAGATCCAGTCCCACCCCAGCTGTTCACACCTGTCCCAGGTGGACACGCGGCTGTCTAGTATTGGGTGTATCCCGCCCTTCTCCGGAACAGGCTCCTCCCCATTTAGGGTGTGGCTTGTGAAAACGTCCCTCCACCCCCTTCCTGACTTCCCCTCCACAATAAAAGGCAGGCACCGTCCAACCTCTTGAGCTGAGACCCTCCGTCTCCCTCACCTTCCTTGAGAGCAGGGTTGGGGGCAATGTGGCGAACTGGCCTGCATCCCTGACTTGCCCTGTGGGCTGTGAGCCTTTTCCTCCCCTCTTTATTATGTCTAGTCCCCTTCCCTTCCTCACCTTCTTGGGACTGCACAACTGGGAGCCACGAGTGCTGTCTAGCCTCAGCCCAGAGCGTCCCAAGTGGAGGTAGGTGCCCAGTGTGTGGAGGGCCAGATAATGCCAGAACTTGACGTTCATTTGAAGCATATTGGGTTTTATTGGGAGCAGGGGAGTAAGGGGCAGCGTAGGGCGTTCAGGGATTTTTTGCCATGATTTCATTTATCCACTCTAGGTGCTGTTTGATATTGGTGTAGATGCCAGGTGTCCCGGGGATTCCGCATGGGTTGTAGCCCCATGATGTGATTCCGTGCAGCACTCTATCACAGACCAGTGGGCCCCCCGAGTCACCCTGGGGACCAGAGAGGGGGAGGAGTTAGAGGTCTGCGGCCGTGTTCCAGCTGCAAGCTCAGCTTTGGACCTGGGGACACAGGAGCCCACTCCCAAAAGACCGGCGTGGACTCTGACACAGGGACAGAGTCCTGGCATCCAGGAGAAGGTCCAGCGGACAGGACATTGTGCAGACAGGGCAGCCCGAAGGACCCTCAGCCCGGGCTCCTCTCGGGCGCCCTGGTCCCAGAGGCTTTCTCTGTGCAGACAGCACACAGCAATGAGGCAGGGACAGGTGACATGTAGCAGGTGTAGGATGGGGGCGTGGAAAGGGAAGGGGGGCGGGCAGCAGAGGCCAGCTTAGCGCTCAGACCCCAGGCCAGAAGCTGAATCACGGAGGGGCTGGCTCACCACACAGGTGTCTTTGCCACCTTCCGGGTGCCCCGCACACAGCATGCTGTCTGTCACCTTCACCACGTGGGCATTTGCGCAGTCCTCATTGGGCAGGATTTTGAGGTCCACACACTGCAGGTTGTCTGGGTACACAGCTGCAGGCCAGGGCCAGAAAGGGTTTCGTCCAGAACCAGCAGGTCCTGCTCCCCTCCTCCGCTGGACCCAGGTGTTGCCTCAGGCCACGTGGTCTGGCCCTGACTTACCATGGTCGGCATCCGGGTTTATGCTGCCCCAGCCCGAGGCCAGGCACTTGGCTGCCACCGCTGCTGCTTCCGAGGGCAGCGCCAGGACCTGCACGCTCTCTGTGATCCGCGCGGGCTCCTTCAGGCGGAGCAGCATCAGGTCGTGGCTGTAGTCGTCCTCTGGGTTGCTGGGATGCGGCTCCAGGAGGCTCATGTTGAACAGTGGGTGAGGGAAGCTCTGGCTGACGGTGACGTGCTGAGCTGTGTCTTCATCATCAAACAGGCTGTGGCGACCCAGCCAGACCTGGTAGTCGCTGGGGTAACCGGGGTGGGGGCAATGAGGGCAGAGGAGTAGACAGGGACATGGGGCACAGGGGAGAGGGGGTCCCGGAAGAGGGAGAGGGAGAATGAGAACCCCAGAGGGAGGGAGAGAGGGAGGGGAGAGATGCAGACGGGGAGAAGCAGACAGCGGGGAGAGGACAAGGGGAGGTGAGGAGAGAGAAGCAGGAAGACCACAGAGAGGAGAAGGAGGTGTCCCGGGGTGCAGGGATGAGGGGCGGAGGAGGACAGTGAGCCTCGGGAAGGGGAAGCAGGAAGGACACAGGAGGAGACGCGGAGGAGCCGGAGACCCCGGGAGAGGCGGCAGGAGGACGGACCGAGGACCAGAGAGGGCGAGGAGGGGAGGCCGGGGGTAAAGAGAGCAGAGGGGGGGGGGGGGGGGGGGGGAGGCCTGAGCGGCCGAGCTGCAGCTGGGGCAGAGCTGAGGGCTCCCAGCGGGCGGCCTGGACCCCAGCCCAAGGTCAGCGCCGCCCGCCCCCACCTGCCCGCCTCCTGCCCTCCCCTGCGCTGTCCCCTCCAGCCCAGCTTAGCGGCCCTTTCCCGAGTCTCCCGAGTGGACGGACGGTCCCGCAGCGAGGGCCGGGCCGGTGAGGGGCAGCGCACAGGCTGGGCTGCATCCACTCCTCCCTCTGGGGTCCCCGGGCCCGTCCTGGCAGTGCGGTCAGCAGAGTCGGGGAGGGGACTGATGTGGAGACCAGAGAGACAGAGGCTTGGGGGGGGGGGGGGACACAGCGACAGAGAGGGCTGCAGAGACGCCCGGACATGGACAGAGATGGGAGCCACAGAGACGCTGGGACAGAGGGACAGGGAGAGGGAGGCACTGCGGGGAGCTCGGCAGCCCTGGGCGGGAGGTCAGGCCCCAGCTCTGCCTCTGTCCTTGCACCCCTTGACTGGCTGCTCCTCTCTCTCCCTCAGTGCCCAGCCTTGCCCGAGGCCACCCCAGAACGGTGCTGGCTGCTGGTCCTTGGGCAGCTGTGCTCTCTTCCCCAGCCCTGCCCCACTCACTTGCTGATGCAGTGGGCGGCCGTGAGCACCCACTGAGGGTCCACCAGGACGGCCCCGCACTGGATGTTGCTGAAGTGGTACAAAGCCGCCTGCCAGGGCTGGGAAGCCTTCGGACAGCTCTGGCCTCCTACGATTCGGGACTGGATGGTTGGCGCCGCACCTGTGGGCAGGGTTGGCAGCAGTGTGGTTGGCAGGAGGGCTGAGGGCTGGGCTTGGAGGAAGGCCATGCAGTGTGTGACTGGACACAGAGGCCGAGGGCCATGGCGGGGGGTCGGGGGGCAGGGCAAGCTGTGGGGTAGCGACCTGAGCTCAGGCGCTGTCCTGAGATTGTGAGTTAGTGGCGCCTCCTGGGTGGGGAGATTTAAGCTTTGGAGCAGAGCTGAGCCCGGGAACCAGGGGAGAAACAGTGGACAGCAAGCAGGCATCAGGTTGGGGGTCAGGTCTTTCAGGGTCTCGGGCCAAGGGCTGAGAGGTGGGGTGTTTGCAGAGAAGGGGATCCAGAAGCCAGGGTACGGGCCCTGTGGGAGAAGATCAGAGCTGAGAGAGGGGGAATTTGGAGTGTTTGGGGGCTAGGGAAATAGGGCCTGGATGGGACTTTTGGATTTCAGGAAAGGATGCTTTTGAGAGAATAAGCTTATCTGGGCAGAGGAATTTGGGGTCCCTGGATTGCGCTGGATGGGTGAGCTGCACTGAGAGAGAAGTCAGGGTTTCTAGGTTAAAGGGTAAGGGAAGGAGCAGGGTTAAGGCTAGGAGTGGGCTCCTGTGCGGCTTTCGGGTCCTTCCTGTGTCTTGTGGGGGGAGGTGGCACGTGGGGGAGGGGAGGAGGCCCTGAGAGGAGGGCTGTGGCCAGGACTGGGACAGGGCTCTGAGGGGAGGGCTTGGCCACAGTCACTCCGGTCAGGGTGAGGGACCAGCTGTCCTGCTCTCCAGGATGGGGTTACATGGTCTGAGGGCGCTGGAGGGGTTTGGGGTCCTCTGGGAGGCAGTCCCAGGACAGGTATGGAGAAAGGGTGAAAGCAGGCCAGGTCACCATGGAGATGCGGCAGAAGACGCACCTGACATGGGGTGTTAGGGTCACATATTGTGGTCTTGGGGGAGCGCAGGGAAGAATGACATGGCTGGAAAGTGTCTGAGATCTGGGGATCGAGTCTCAGAAAACCAGAGCTGTTCAGAGGGGTTCAGGTGGGGAAGGGATGGAGCTTGGGGAGGGATGGGATTCTATGCAGAAAGGACCCTGTGGCTGGTGGGAAGGCTGGCTTTGCTGCATGGGGTTCTGGGTAGCGACCCCCATACCAAGATGGGGGACCTATCTGGTGTCACATGCCACTTTGTTTGGGAAGCAGGGTTGTCTGGTGGTATTTGGGGGACTTGGGAGGATGGGGACTGGATGTCAGCATCTGGAGGACACAGCTGAGAGCTGACAGCTGGACAGAGGACAGCCACTGGGTACAGTGGGATTTGGGGTATCAGGAGTCAGGCCGTTGGGCTTGAGAAACAGGGAGTTAGAGGGGACGATCAGCGTCCCAGGGTCTGAGAGACCCAGATGGCCCAGGACTGTTCCCTTTGGTACTGGCTAGGGAAGAGGAGGAAGCAGCACCCTAGGGCTGGAAGGAGGACCAAGAGGGACTTGGCCATGTGGATGGGCTGGGAGAGCCCAGCACCCTGGTCTGGGTATACTGAGGGCTGGAAGGAGGAAGCTGGTGCTGGGCAGAAGGGAAGGACTCATGGGAGTGAGGGCAGCACGAGAGTCAGGGTCTCCACAACCTCCCAATTCCCCCCACACTCTCACCAGTCTCCCCCAGGAACAGGGTGAGGCCCAGAATCAGGAACCACATGGCAACAGAGGTGTCCAGGGCCAGGCAGTGAGCTGCTTGGTGGGGAACTCCTTGGGGAGCCTTTAAAAACCCTATCCCCCAGAGCCCCGCCCCTGCCCTGCTGGCAGCTAGATGCTCGCCAAAGCCCCACCCCTAGTGGCGGGGCCTCCAGAGCCGCTGAAGCAGGGAGGCCCTGCACCTGGTGTCCCTCCAGCTCTAGGGCAGGCTGGGTGCCTTCCCAGGGCTGAGGCCAGGTGGAGCAGGGCCTGCACCTCCTGGGGCCTCACTGTGGGGGACAGGGCCAGTGAGGCAAGGTGGAGAGGAAGATTAATTGACCTCCTGCTACAAAGCCCTTAGACCTAAGCTCCAAGCAAGACCCTGTTTGGAACAATTCTACATAATTTTGGGGAAAAATCATTTCACAATTAAATTATGATTAGGCCTAGTTTTCCTGCCTACAGGCTGGCTATGGCAGGTCAAGATGTAACTTCATTTTCACCTCTGGTCACAGCTAAAACCTCAGTGGTTGGATAATGATGTGATGTCCCAGGGCAGGATAACATCAGCTGAAGACATCCTGGGGAGGAACAAAATCTTCATCTGCATAAGTTCCTCCTTGTCCTAGGATTATCACTGCAGCCCTCTGAGTCGTCTGTTACTCCCGATGTACCAAATAAAGATGTGGCAAGCTCGGGTCTTTCATCTTTGCTGTCCAGAGCAGCACTGATCAGGCCCAAAGCTCAGCTTCTCCTCTAAGTCTCATTTTCTGTCTTACTTCACTAATTCACCTTATGCTGTCATGGCTCACAGGAGACCAGGACTCTCTGCAGTGGTCCTAGCAGCATTCCCTTTCCCTGTTCCCGTTTAGACCCCATACATAAGGACCCAGTGTGCCCTCAGATACCAGCTCTGAGGACTCTTAATTCCTTACACCACTCCGCTTTTCAGCTGCCACCCGCCCCCACCCCCGCCCCAAAATCTAACCCTTGGTTTTCATAATGCCCTGATTTTTGCACCCCCAGACCCAGTACCCGGTGCCCACATTTATTGTCCTGTTCACAATATGTTTTGGGGAATACATTACCACAGTCCTGGGACTCTCAGATCCAGGAAATGAAATGTCAGGGTCTCACAAAGTAAGTTCTCTAGCATTTCAAAATCCAATGCCTCCCCCAACAATGGAGAGGTCACAATGACTCTCCTGCTCCTTGTTCCCAGATGTGGGCACTCAAGGCCATCTCACATTCCCAGAAATCTAGGCCAACTGCCATCCTAGATAGTGATTCTCACCACAAATCCTAATTATCACCCTGACTAGGCCTCTATAATATTTAGATCTCAAGAACTGTACTTTGGTATACACACCAGGTTCTTGTGCTTCAATACTCAGCAACCTTGAAAATTGCACTTTGGGGTCTCTGAGGAGAATCAGGAACAGATTCCTGAAATCTCAAGCCCACAGGCTTCCAGTACATTATCTCAACTCTGGTAAAACTGAATGAGCTCACAGAGCCCCAGCTTCTGCTATATGTCAGGAGTCTGGCTGAGGAAAAGAGGGTATTTGCCTTCCTGCATGGCTATCCGGAAGCCTAGCGTAAATCCTGAAGGTGGAGAAGTCATTCCTGGTAATGTGATGTGTGAGGTTCTCTCCCTGAGCAGTGACAGGATATTTATCCAGTGTCAGACACTGTTCAGTTCACAAATTAGTTCATTTAATCCTCACATCAGCTGTAGGAGGCAAGAGAGAAGACCAGCCGATTTTACAGATGGGAAAACCAAGGATGTGTGCACTTGGGCTCCCTATTCAAGATCATACAGCTGGTCATCTGTGCTGAAAGAAGCCATCTCCCCTCCCCTAGGGGTTGTGGCAGTGGGTGAAATGGATCAGCCCACCCTGTCCTTCAGTCCCCACCCAGCCGCTGACTCCTGTTTCCCTTCATCTCCACAAGAAAATCACAGAATCTCCTACAGAAACACTTGGATCAGTGCCATTATCTTGGTGTTAAACAGACGACCTTAAACACCAACTTTGGCTTTCGGTGCCACAAGTTGTTGGCTAACACTGGAGACTTGGATGGGAGCTGGGGGAGGGGCCCAGTTCTATCCTCCGTTGCGATGGGGCTGCTGACCAGCCATGGGGACTTCTGCTTGGTCAGGGACACAGGTGTTAGGTCAGTTAGTTCCTCTTCATGGTTTCCCTGATCCACTGCAAGTAGCGGCATACTTTGGTGTAGACACCAGCCTTGGTGGTAGTGTCACAAGGTACGTCGCCCCAGGACACAATGCCCTGCAGGGCACCCCCACAGACCATGGGTCCCCCGGAGTCACCCTGTGGGAAGAAGGGGGGATTTCAAGTTGAGTGGGAACTTCCTGAACTCAGTAGTGTCCCCTTCCCCATCCTAATCATCATTTGTGATGTCAATCAAAACCCAGTACAACCCCAACTCAACCCAAACCCATCCAACCGGATAGGACTCACCCTAGCCGTGTCCAGCCCTGCCCTCATGTAATCCCAATCCAATTTAACTAAGCTAAATCCGACTCAGCCCAGACCCATGCCCGTCCTCACATCCAGTCTACCTGATACCCATCTTCACATCTTCTGCATCCTCTCAAAGATCCACTCATTCTACTTCACATTTCCCATTCAAAATCAAACTCCTTCCCATTCTCAACCCCAGGCTATGCTGTCCCAAGGCCACTGCCACACTGCCCACCCCAAACAATCCCAACTCTATCTCCGTCTCTAACCCTACCTCCAACCACCATGCCAAGCGCTCGACTTAGTCCATCTCCAAACCTAACTCCACCACCTTCTCTAGCCCAAAGCAAGTGAAACCAAGCCCATCCCAACTCCAGGACCTGTTCCTGTCCCCCTTCTTCCACCTGATGGCCCTCTTGGCTCTGACCTCACAGGAGTCCGTGCCTCTGCCCTCCACTGTGGCGCACACCATGGTGTCCATCAGGTACCCTGGGTAGTCCTTGTTACAAGACGCTTGGGAGATAACGCTGATGTTGGCACAGTGCAGGGTATCTGGGAGGGTCACTGGGGAAGAGAGTGGACATGGAGCACATCCATACACTTTGGCTCTAGTGGCCTTCGTCAGGAGCCTGGGGGACAGGGTTCCTCAGGCGTGGTATCTATCCCCTCACGTACCTTGTGACTCAGAGCTTCCTGTGGTCTCTGGCTTGTTGTCTGACACCAGGCCCCAGCCGGACACCACGCAGGGCTCACCAGGTTGCGGGCAACGCGTGGGCAGAGGCACTGGTCGCACCTGGCGGGTCAGACGTGCGGGCCGAGCTAACTGGAGCAGCATGACGTCATGGCGGTGGCTTCGCGCTTTGTAGCCCGGATGTGGGATGATGCGCGAAACAAGACGCAGCTGCTCAGGGCCATCGCGCTTGCGCAGGTTGTGCTCACCCAGGCGCACTGTCATGAAGCTGTGGGGCGAGTAGTTACCCACAAGTGGGGTGGCAAGGAGTAGACAGAAGGACTCAAGCGGGCAACCTGGCGCCCTTCGACCCTTTGGGAATCTCGAGGTCTCATTACCCTTTCCAGAAATCCTGAAGTCAGTGATTTCAGACTTTCCCCTCAGGGACCCAGGAGTCCCAAGTCTTTTTTTTTTTTGGTACCGAAGATCGAACTCGGGACCTTGGGAGCTTGCGCTTGCGAGGCAGGGGGAGGAACCACTGAGCTAAATCCCCGGCCCCAGGAGTCCCAAGTCTTGAAGCCACCCACAACTTAACCTGCTGGCTTGGACGGTGCCTTCCTCAGAAGCTAGACTTCTCAAATTCCTAGGCCCTTGCGCCATCAGGGGCTCAGAAATGGGCCTTACGGGTCTTCTCTTCCTTCTGGTAGGGACTGGGGAGTCCAGAACCCACGCCCTTGCTCACGCAGGGCCTGGGCTTCCAGCGTCCACCTCCTCCAGAACCCGGGGTTCAGACTCCGCAGTGCAGGCACTGGTGCCTGCCTCTCCCGCTCCTGGCAGTTCCCACCCCCAGCCATGCCCTCCCGGCCCCAGGCCCTGCCTGCATACCGGGTCTGGCAGTGGGCAGCAGTCAGCACCCAGCGCGGGGAGATGAGGGAAGCCCCGCAGTTGAAGCGTCCACGCCCGAAGAGGGCCACTTGCCACGGCTGGGAGTGGGGCGCACACTCTTCATCACTGTCCTGGGCTGCTGGGAGAAGGAGCGGAGCACCGCTGAGAACAGGCGCCTTTCAGTGTGCTGTGCCCCTCCCTCACACCCTCTCCTCCTTGTGCTTTTCATTTATGTCCTCTCTCCTTTTGGAAGGGGGGCAGTACTGGGGATTGAACCCAGGGCCTTCACACTCAGCTACATCCCCAGCTCTTCTAAACATATTTTATTTTGAAACAAGGGCTTGCTAAGTTACTAAGTTGCCCAGGCTGGGGTTGAACTTGTGATTCTCCTGCCTCAGCCTCCCGGAGTGCTGGGATTACAGATGTGTGCAACAACATCCAGCTCCCTGTTTCTTTCTTAAGAAGTTTTTCCTGTTTATTCTGAAGCCCATTCCTGGCTGACTTTTGCAGCTGCTGCCTGCTTGCCGTAGGGACCTGGGAGAGAGAGAGGAGGAGGAGAAGACCAAAGAGGGCAAGATGTTCTCTGTGGCTGGGGGTGGGGGCAAGGACACTGGGGACGGTTTCAGCCAGGCAGGCGGTCACTTGGAACCAGTCACTCAAAATGACCAAACCGTCATGGCTATCCAATGGATGTGGCCACTCAGAATACAGGACGCACAGTCTTGGTTCCAGAGACCATATCTCAGCCAAATGCAGTGTACCATGCAAGATTCCCAGGTGGCTGCCCAAGGTCACCGACACACGCACATGCACAAGCGGGCTTGCAACGGAGGCAGCCAGGGGCAGAAAGCTCAAGTCCACTTGCAGGCACGGGGGCTACACTTCTAGAAGCACAGCAGAGATGTCCATGGGTGTCCGTGAACATGGGCAGCCCAGACATGGGCATGTACGAGCAGGGACGAAATACTGCACATGCAGGCATGCAATCTGTGCACACGCACAGAACACTGGCCGTGACTCGGACCTGAGCTCACAGGCTCCAGTGTGGGTCTTGATGTGCACACCTGCACCCAGGGTCTGGACAGAGAGGTGGGGCCCTCACCCTGGGTTCAAATCTACTATCTGTGAGACTCTGAGCAAATTATTTGATCTCTCTGGACCTCAGTCTCATGATCTATAAAATGGGATGCCATTTAAAAAGATATATGGCTTTATTTATGGGAACACATGTGGATGTTCACATTTTGGACACACTTATGGCCAGCGTAAGGCAGCATCTACACAGACCCAGATACAATAGCTGAGGTCAAAACTGTGATTCATCCATCAGCCATTGTGTAGAGAGTCAAGGTCACAGCCACCTACCCACAGGGCTCAGCTGTGGACCCAGACATAGGCCTGGGCACTTGGGGAAGGACACAGCTGGAGACACAGGTGGCTGGGCCAGCACATATTTATCCATTCTACATCAGCTCCTGAGCTGGACCCGTGATGTTCAAGATCAATCATCAAGTTTCACATATGGGTTCATGCACACGGGCAGGAGGACCCGGCATGCCCACCACACACACCTACACCTACACACACATATGCGCACACGCGTGCACACACACGCGCGCACACACACGCGTGCACACTTCCACAGGATGGAGTCATGCACGTGGATACAAGCAAGGACATTTTTGGGTCACAGGACCACAACCCCTACCCTGGGCAATGTGGCTGTGCCCCGCAAGGAGACAGTCGTGCCTACAGATGCCCACATGGGCTGGATTGGCACAGCCGGACACAATGCCACCCCCTGCCCACCAAGGTGAGGAACTGGACCCAAGGTGCTGGCAAGGTTGGAGAATGCGGATGTGGTGGATGGGAGGCTTAACAAAGGAGGGCCAAGGTTGTCTTAGAGCAGGGTGAGGGTGCTGGCTGAACAGCTGGGCACCGGGCCGCACCTGGCCAGTCGGAGCTGGAAGAGGGCGGAGGCTGCAGCTGGGTGCAGCAGGCAGGTGGGAGGCAGAGGGGAAAGGGCACAGGGAGAGCCCCAGGGAAGAGTGGCAGCACGGGGGAGACCAGGGCAGCCTGGAGTCATGGGGGGCAGAATGGTTAATGAACATTCAGGTTACAGGTTCTTCAGGGCAGAGGCATCAGGTTACATTCATTTCTCCCATGGGTGGTGGTGCAGCCCGGTCCGGCGTTCACCTGCCACCCCACTCCCTCCCACGTCAAAGGAGGGCCGAGGCGCCCCCACATAAGGATGTTGCGTGTGAATGCCGAGCGCTGCACCGGCACATGCTAGGTGCCTGGCAAGGCTCACTCACCTCCCGGGTACCCCATGAGGTTGGAAACCCCATGAGGTTGTCGAACCCGAATCACACAGACATTACAGAACCAGAAAGTGGCAGAGGTGGGATTTGAACTCAGAACCTGTGCTCTTGCCTCCTCAATCCTTGGCGAGTGCTTATGATATGCGTTACCTCCATTACATCATTGAGCCACTGCGTTATTGCCACAGGTAGGTGGTGTCTTATACGGCAGGCACCTGAGCCCAGAGAAGTCTTTACTTCATTGCTTTCAGTGTTCTCAAAGTCACACCGCAAGGTCGGGGAAGCGGCGGGATTCAAACTCAGGTTTGTTTGTCACCGGGGCTGGGCTTGCTGTCAGGGTAGGGAGAAGCCCCAGGCTCTCAGGGCGGCAGGTAACTCAGTTGGGCCAAGGGTGGGGCTATTAGGTGGCCTCTGAGTGAGGTAGGGGCTGGAGGGTCCCGGGGGAAGGGGACGCAGCACTCCCACGGAGCCCGCCGCCCCTCACCTGCAGACATCAGCAGGAAGGAGAAGGTGAGCAGGAGCCACATTGCGGAGGAGGGGTGGGCTCGGCTGGAGTCTGTGGTGGGGAAGCGCGAAGATGGCTCAGGCTGGGCCCCTCCGCCCCCACTAGGATGTCCCGGCCTCTGCTGCTGAAGACCTGCCGGGCCCTCGTTGCCTGCTGCTCCGGCCGCCATCTCTGTCTCTTGAGGCTTCACTGTTCTTCCAGACACTGGGACAGCCCCAGGCGCCCCCACAGCCCGTCAGACCCCAGCACCCCACCAACAGCCCCGGTGCTTTGGCCCAGGACCCCGTCCCAGCCTCCTGTCTGGCCTCTTGCACGCCCCCAGCCCAGCTCGCTCTCAGCCTGTCCCCAGGGCCCCACGGTCTTTCTGCATCCAGGCCTGTGGCCCCAGGATAAAGCCCCAGCCCCTCAGCCTCACTTTGGAGGATGAGCGATTCTTGCCTTCCAGCCTGCCTGGCTCGTCTCCCACAATCTTTTCTAACCTCCAACTCTGAGGGGTGCCCGCCTCTCCCATCACACTGGGAGCTCCCTGTGAGCAGACCCGGACCCGGTCTGAGGATTCTACATTCCCAGGACTGCCTCATGCAGGGTCTGGCCCAGGGGAGGCCTCGGCTAGCTTTGGGAGTGAATTAAAGTCCTTGCCCTTGTCTTCTAAGTTACAGTTTGTCCTGTGAGGCTTGGCTGTCTCCTTTCCTGGGAGGCCCCGGTACCTAACAGGTGTCTTCTGGACCCCACAGTGCCAATCTTGGCCCCATTGCCACACAGATGCCCACAGATGCTTCGGTGTGGCCTAGCCCTCCACCTCCCGCCCCATCTGGGGGTCCTGAAGGGGGGCTCAGGTTAGATCCTCTCTGTGTCCCCAGCACTGCCCAGCCTGGAGCCTGGCGCTTGGGAGCGCTGGGGAAGCTGCTCTGAACTGGCTGGAACCGTGTGCCCTGAGCTTGTCCTGGCTCTGGGACAAGTGCTTGAGGTATGTCCTCCTGATCCACTCCATTACCCCCACTCCTTCTAGTGGCTCCAGGATACTTTCTTGCTTCAGGTTCAACTCGGAGCCACAGAAAAGGGCATGTGGACCTCGCCAGTGCCCTTGACACTTGGAGGGTGGTCAGGGTCTCCCCCAGGACCAGGGCACTATTTCCCTCACTGCCCCCTTCCCAAGCTCTCTCAAAGATCTCACCCCTTCCAGATCCTCCAGCAGCATCTAGGGCAGCTTGGATGCCAGAAGAAGCGGACCAGAGACCAGAATGCCTGAATTTATAAGCTTCCAGCCCCACCTGGGTCTAGGGGTGCAGTAAGGTGGGGTGAGTGAGGTTGGGTGGGGTAACAGGTGGCTGGGAGATTTACAGGCAGGGACGCCTTGGTGGCCAGTGGGGTGGGGGACCAGGTCTAATGAGCATTTATTAGGCTGAAGCTATTGTCTGAGTCTGTAAGAAGGCATTCTCCTCCAGGGCAGTTCCTCCAGGGGAAAGAGACAGGAGTACAGAGCAGAAAATTGGAGGACATCAAAATACAGATCTCGGAATTCGGGGTCTTGAGTATGGGGACTGGATTCTGGAGTCACACGTCTTGTGCCTGGGATAGGGTTCTGGATCTTGGATTCTGGATTTGGTGTTCAGATTCTAAACCTGGCTCTTGAGATCTGGATTTTGAGTCTTAAATTTGGCATTCGTGACCCGAAGTCTGGAGTGTGGATTGTCTGAGTCGTGGGCTCTGGAACCAGACCTTGGAGTCAGGTCTGGGAGTGGCCTATGAGGTCTTGGGCTTGGATTCTGGATCCTGGACACTTGAATCTAGAATCCACATGAGGAGTTTGGAGTTGGTGTTTGGAATCTGGGCTTGAGGTTAAAATCTTTTGCATTTGCCATGTGAAGTCTCGGTCCTGGAGTACAATGGGTGGTCTTTGGATTTTGGTGTCTTGATTCTAGAGTCTGGGTCTAGACTGATATTTGGAGTGTGAAGCATGGAGTTTCAAATCTTCCTTAGACATTTAAGAGGCTGCGCTGGGAGATGGGCCTGGCTTCCCTGATTCTGAGATTGTCAGAGTCTTGAGTCCAGGGTATGAATTTTGAGATTGGGAGCCTGGGGTCTTCATTCTGGATCCTGTAGTCATAATCCTGTGTTCTGGAGCTTGAAATCTGGATTCTGTATTTCGGAAGCCAGACATCAACACTGAGGTGATCCAAGGCTTTAGGTATTTGAAGTTGGCTTCTGGTGCCTCAGAAGCCTAGAGGGCCCTGAGCAATTGTCTGGAGTCTAACCAGCAGGTCCAGAGAGCAGGAGGGACCTACTTTACGTCATCCGGCAAAGAATGGGACCCATTATACGCATAGTCCCTCCCTATGTCTGGAAAGCCATCACTTTACGGGAAGCAGCTGCACGATTGGGGCTCAGCTTCTGTAGTACAAGCCTTCAAAATTTCTGGAATATCATATTCTAGATTCTAGGACCACAGGCCCCGAGACATTCCAGCAGTCTAGGACCTTAGGCTGGAGGGTAAGATTTAGAATTGTGTAGACCCACAGAGTTCTGGACACCCGGCAGCCCTGGGGCAGGCATCCCATGCCCCCGAGGCCCAGACAGGCAGGCATTGTAGAAATTCAGGTTTCCAGACACTGTACAAGACCAGACTGGCAGACATTCTGGACCCCCAGGCCGGAAGCTATGCTAGGGCTCCTTTGTCCCTTTGTTGCCCCATAATTTCATTCTGCATGTCTTGAAGCTTCAAGCTGGGCCTCAGCTTCAGTGGAGCAGTCCATTTATGGGGTGCCAAGGGCTGCCCTGGCATTACCTCACGTATCCTCCCAACAGCACGAGGAGGTTGATATAGAGGAAACTGAGGCCCACAGAGAGGCGACACAGGCAATGGTCATGCGGAAGTCAAGAGGCCAAGGGGAGAAGAATCCAGGGTTCTGACCCCAGGAACATCCGGCCAATGCGGCCCCGCCCCCAGCCATCTGCAGGAGGAGCTCCCTGGCACAGCGGGGACCTTGAAAGCCCTCCCACCCAGCAAAGCCGAGTGAGAGGGCTCACAACTACTGAACCCCGCCCACGCGGCTACGTCATGCCCACGCGGCTACGTCATACCCTCCGCCCCGCCCACACGATGACGTCACCCCGCCCGGCCCGCTCCCGCGTCGGGAGCCCCATCCCACACCCGATGTCCCCACGGCCGTTTCTCACTCACGGTGCTCTAACTCCTTGTCCTCCCGGACCCTTCCTAGGCCAGCCTACCGTATGGGCAGACCCTCCACCCCGGAACCGTCCTCGCCCCTTCCTCTCCTCCTCCCTGCACCTCCTTGGTCCCCAGCCCTTTCCTTCTGCCCCTGCCTCTCTCTGCCCTGTCGCCTCCTCCCTGCTCCTTGGTCTGGCTCAGTCTGGAGAGCAGGGCCCTTTGGGCACTGCTTACTAATTTGGGAGACCCTGGGTCTTAGTGTCTCATCCCTTAAACCTGATCTCCCCAGGAGGACCGAGTTAGTTCCTGCAGGGAGCTGAGCTCGCATGAAAACGCCTTGTTTTACACATGAGCGGTGTGGTTTGAGGTCACCCAGGCTGCAGAAGCCAGGAGCCAAGAGGCTGGTTCCAGGGGTCCTGTCGCCCCTTGGAGGAGAGGACCGCCTGCCCTTGGCTGGGTTCCATCGGAGAGGGAGCTCGGGTTGGGCGGGGTCTGGCTGGGGTTGAATGACGTGAGACCCTCGGAGCAGCTGTGTCAGTCATAAAGTCAGGTTGAGGCCCGAAAGACCGGACCAGTGAGGTGGACTGAATCTCGTCTCGGCCACACACACAGTGTCTTGTGCCCTCGGGCACGACACTCAGCCTCTCTGTCTTGATCGCCCTGTCCATAAAGTGGGAACAGTAATGCTTCTGCTTCTTCGGGAGGAGTGTTTCCAGACTCGAGACCCACGCCCAGCGTGCAGCACTCGCTGAGTAATCCTGAGCAGCCACCACCGCCACCATTGGCATCATTGTCTTTGTTTTTTGGGGGTTTTTTTTGGTGTCGGGGATTGAACTCAGGTCCTTGCGCTTGTGCAGCAGGTGGCAAAACCACTGAGCTAAATCCCTGGCCTCCATTGTCATCATTGATGTTGTCATCATTTGTCCTGGGTCCCCTGCAGTCAGAACCTGGGCAGCAAATGGGCTCCAGGCTGGAGAAAGCCGGGTTCCCTGATCTTGCAGGTGTCGCACTTTCTCAGAATCACTGAAACACATTTTATTCTTAAAGCTTATTTTAGTTTATCTGCGGTACTGCAGATGGAACCCAGGACCTCCACTCTGCACTGCTCCCCAGCCTTTATACCTTGTGAGAGCTTGTTTGGAGCTTCTAGCAGGGGAGCGCAGCTACCTGACGAAGGAAACCGCCCTCCTCTCTTCCTCTTCAGCCAAGCTTGCAGCTTCCAGAGGCACACGCATGGAGCAGTGAGGGAGGAAGGGGGCAGCTGCCTAGCCAGCCGGATCAGCCGGGCCCTCCTGTCTCGGCCTCCCAGAGTGCTGGGATTACGGGCATGTGCCGATGAAGCCCTTTTATCAAGACCCCTGTTTTACAGATGGGCAAACGGAGGCCCAGGGAGAGGAAATGGATGTGTGAGAGAGGATGCGAAGTGGGGAGAACACCACATGTGGAGCCTAGCTTTTCTCTTACACTTTGTATCTTGGTCTGTGCTGAGGGAGGCTGAAGGGAAGGAGGCAGAAACCTGCTTTTCTTAACAAATGCTGGCGGGGCTGTGGGGAGAAAGGAGCCCTTCTCCATTGTTGGTGGGAGTGCAGACTGGTGCAACCACTGTGGAAATCAGTATGGAGAAACCTCAAAGAACTAGGATTAGAGGTCCCATTTGACCCAGCTATTCCCCTGCTGGGTATCTTCCCCAAAGAATTAAAAGAATCATACCACAGCAATATATGTGCACCCATGTTAATAGCAGCACAATTTGTAATAGCTAAAACTTGGAAGCAGCCCAAGTGCCCATCAACTGGAGACTGGATAAAGAAAATGTGGTTTTAAAAAAATAAAATGGAGTACTAGTCAGCCAT